TTATCATTATGAGCATTTGGCATCAGGAATGCAACCCGTAATTCAATTTGAATCTACAATGGCCTCAATATGCTGTTATAATAATTTGATAGTCTTGAATTTTAAAAAAATGGCAGACACAATCACAAACACTGCAAAAGCTCAACAAACAACGAAAGGGAATCTGGAGGTTGCACAATTGAATTCAAACAAGAAGTGTGTCATGGTAGTGTGAAGTGTATCGTACTGCGAAACTGTCTTAAGTAAACTACTCAGATTTGAGTATATCCAGAAACATGGAAATTACTAGGTCTGTATCAGATGTCTAATTAAGAGAGGAGGCAGGAGAAAGAGCACCGACAATACGTGAGCGAGATAAGGGGCATGTCTTCAGGGTTCTCCATCTCGTTCCTCCACTGGGCTTTAAAATGTGAGCGGTGCACCTCATAAGAGAGGCTTAATTAGAACTGAATAAATATGACACTGTAGTTAAGAGGGAAAGACCTCCCTAGCTGCTTCACACACAACACAGATAAAAATGCTATTTAAAAGTACTTGATGTCTGACGGCACGGAGCTACAACACCACACACCTGAGCGGTGTAGTGCACTTCTAAGTCAACACCAGTCGCAGCAGCAACCAACAGTCTTGTCTTTTAATAGGCTTGTTTCTGAGACAGGCAGCTTCCCTGGACTCATTTCTATCTTGTCCCTGGCCCTTTGTGCCAACAGCTGCAGCCAGACCAGATTCCACTGTCTGTCACAATTTAGAGGAAGTGATGTGTGAAAGAGAGTGGAACGTCTTGTCTGTCTGACCTGAGTAGTGCCCACTGGACCAACACAAGTCACTGTGAGCTCAATATTCGCTTCACACAGAAACTGCGAGAGGCATCAACCAACACCGCTGTTGAAAATATATTTGGAGACATTTAACAAAATTCTATCTGAAAATAATACATCATCCTACACATCACAGCTCTCAGAAATTCTCGTCACACCCAGTTTACTACTAATAAAACCACACGTATTTCTGACCTGCTAACCTCTTCGAGTTGAGTGAATGATAATTCAAAATACTGAAGTGTACCTATACATTAACTGGCACTGGGCTCATATACATAATTTATAGTGCATAACACTCCACAACAGCACAATCAAGCCATTACCTCTGTTGCTCTTTAAAATGTAGTTAATCATCACTGCTGCTGCATCCGTTTAAACTGTGCTCGCTGGGATAAGACATGTAAAAGAGGCAGTGACGATGACAAGAGGCACACTGGTATAAACTCCCCCCTGATCGCACCACAATTTATGACTCTCCAACACAAAGCGCTGGGCGTAATTAAGGGAATGTGAAACGGCAAATTAATCTGTTATGAAATTACTGCCGCAGCACTACTTTATAATGTTATCTTTTATTGCACTGTGTAAATGTGCGCCTTGAAGTGCATGTACGTTGCCCCCTTGTCTTTGATAGGGATTAAAATGCGCAGTGTGAACAGAAACACAATAGCTCATTAACCCTTAGACATCAACTTAAGTACAGCTTGTCGATGGCAGACGGCCTCTGTTGTGGGACACAATAACTCTGATGGGGCTGATGCTTTATATATTACTCTGTAATCTGGTACTTTTTAAGGAGGGTTGTTCCGTGATACAACACAGGAGCTGCTGTAGGGGTTGTGAAGAAACAAGTTGTCTGACACACACACTCACCAACACTTTACTGTGATGTTGACTTGAACTGTGACAGCGTGATGACAGACAGCCTCCCCACTACACACAAGATTCATTGGACGTATAAATTGATGTTACAACACTTAAGGGCTGTAAAATATTCCAGTGACTGATGGAAGAAAGCTAAGAGCCTTTCCATAGCGCTTCTTAAGAACACTGATTTCTGAGTAACAAGTGAATGACACTGACATTGAGAAGTGTGGAATTTAAGTAATATATTTGCATCAATACATGTCATGGAAAACAAATAAAAAATAATTAATCGTCTACCACAACCTTTAAAAAGTCAAATGCTGCACCTATAGTTCGCCTTTAAAGAAATTAAAAAACCACATAGATGCAATTTGATATATGTTTCAGGATCATACCGGCCAATAAACAGGACAATATTGCCTAGGATTATTTATGATTGTTTGATTATCATTTTGATTGAAAAAATAAATTACAACCTACATTCATAAAGCAGTAGAAAATGACAATTTAACGCAATATCATTTTTTAACCTCACTAAAGCATACAGCTTTCCATGTGCACAAGTACGGTCAGATAATACCACTTTTAGTTCATAGATATATAAATATGTATGAAATCCCTCGCTGAACATTTTGTGATCTGCAGATGGAATCAACACAAAAGTAGTTGAGGTTTTGAAATAATATAATGTTGAAGATCACACATCTACCAACATAAAGTCCTGTGGTCGGTATGTTTCACTTTCAAACCACGAATGAACTGCATCAGACTTAACTTGGGAGCAAAGTGAGACCCCCCCCCCTTTAAATGCTGTCTCTGTTCTGCTGTTTGGTCTGCAACAGCGTTCCCTCCAGCCCACACAAACGAGACTATCACATCAAGTTTGAATATATTAAACCAGTTGGGTGTGAAAGCACCCTCACAGGTATTTTTTTATTAGGTGAATGAGCTGCATTTGAGAATGAAAAATCCCAACATGGTCAGTGTGGGCTGGTGTGGCAGAGGGGTCTGTGTAGTGTTTGTGACTTAAAAACGATATGTGTGTTTGCAGAGGCACACAATGTTCATATGCTGTTAATGTTTGCCTGTCATATCAGGGGACAGGGAGAGTGACACAGAAACGAGCCAGCAGAAATATTGTACAAAAGGCCCCCTCAACTGTCCCGGGGAGCAGGAAACTAGAGAGTCAGTTTCACATGGCTCTGTCTGTTTCTTCTGCTCTCACATGTTTTTTTCCATGCAGCTTTCTAAAATCAACTGAAGGCACCCTGTTTTAGCAGCCCCCCCTAAGCTTGCACAAATGTAACCGCAGCATCTTGTCCCATCTCCTTCCTTACAGCCCACATTCTGCTGCTACCTATTCCCTCTGCTCATTCCTCCTATTGGTCCCAGGGTGGACTTCGCGATTAGGCCAGACGGGAGGCAGTGTAATGTTACTATAGTGCTCAAAGTCTTCCTGGAGATCTCAAGTGTATGGATGCCTGTTTATTCAGCCTCCATGCTAATACTGTTTTCCTAATTAGTTCCCAGTATACCCTGCATTAGCATTCCAGACAATCTGCCTCACAAATGATTCTTCGTGAGTGAGTGATTAGTCTTTCTTCATTAATGTAAAACAGTCACATATGTGTAAACGATAACAATCATACAGAAGCTGACATCTTTCAACACCCTTACAGGTTTTTAATTAAAGTCAACTCCTTCATATGTTGAAGAAATCAAGTAATTATAATCCTCTTTTTTTTTCCCTATGGAAAACTGACCACACATGTTCAGAGTACACAAATATATACACTGTGCTAAAAGTCAACCATGACATTTAAAGGAGTGACGATCACAGTAAATTGAGGTCATGGCACGTTGCTGTTATTGGCAGCAGCCAAGAGAATAATTGTGCAAATCACAGCCTGGTCTCTAGATGAGGAGAAAAGTGTGGTGTATATAGGTCAATTTGCAGATGCAGCAAAACAACACAAAGTAGATAAGAGACAAAGAGAACACTAACATAGCTAATTCACATCACATTCATTAGTGCAGGAAACAGTGAGGGGCTAAGGGTGACTCAGACAAGGCGTAAGGGGGGGGGTACCTCAGTGACAGTACAGTCTCATTAACTCATCTTTCAAGAAGAGAATAGGAAGTCAAGGCGCTGACCCTTGAATTCACAGTTGTATGCAGCAACAAGGAGAGAACGACTTACTCCTTCTTTTTAATGATTAAAAAAATTGTGTTTGTTGCGCTACCCTGTGGGGACAACTCATTGACATAATGCACTCACAAGCAGTCACAACCAAAGACGTTTTAGGCACGACCTCTAGAAAATGTCTGCAAAAATATCCTATAACATATGAAGAATGCAGCAGGAGATTGTGAAGACCACAAACATCCAGGAAAAACCGTAAATGGACAGAACATACAGGTGCGGGGGGGGCCTGAGCAGAGCATGAAGGAGGCAGGACATGATGGCGGAAATTAAACATTTTGGTTTGCAGCACATGGACCCCGGCGTCGCTCTTATTGACAAAAGCTCTCAAATCTCCAAGTTGACATCTTTATCTGCTTCCTTTACATGTATGGCCCCTTTTTTCATGCTGGGATTTGTATTTTTATGTTTAAGTTTTTATCTGTCACATGATAGAAACGTCATCCCTCACTTGCTGTGAATTTCCCAGACTTTGTCCTGCTGTGTTCTCACATGCGTCCATTCTTTTGCTGACAATAACCAATCGGCTGATGCCCACCAGAAGTTCTAATCAGATCAGCCCTTGAAAGTACCCACCCACTCCCATCTGCCTCCTTAAAGCAGCAAGGGGATCTTCTCCTTACTGTCCGTATCTGCCTACCTGCCACTCTCTGGTCATTAAGAGCACTGGTTTGGTGGAGACAAATTGCAGAGAGTGGGTTTGCAGCTGCCACAGAGGACGAGTTAAAAACCTGCAGGCTAAGCATACTCTTTCCCACAGAAGTCACCTTTTAGTCCAGTTTATTTGACTCTCTCTCTCTTGTTTGTTCAATCTTGTTTTCTTCTCCTCTGATATTCCTCCTCACCTCTTTCCTCCTAGGTATGCCCAAGGAGCCAATGGGGAGGCCTGAGGAGCAGCTGCAAAATCCCCATGCTCCTTATTAGTCTTGTATGGGCACCTGGCCTCTTTTTTGGCTCATGTAGTATGGACCACCTGGCTGCTGCTAATGCATTCAGTTGAAGATGTTTGTATGCCTTATATACAAACTGCTCAGCAGTGAACAGGGGGTAAATTGAGTCTCGGTGGAAGAAAAGTAATCCTGTTCAAAATCAGCCTCTGTTTGAAAACCTCATATTTGTAATTCATGGAAAACTTCACAGCAGACAAACCTTAGCCTGCACAGAGAAACCTTGTGTTAGCATGAACACACTAAACAAAGGAAGATCTACACTTGCAGGCAAAAAAAACATACTTGAAGAAATGATATGCAAAATACATTTTGCAAACATCTTAATAATTAACCACAACTCACCTTTGGTTATCTGTTCTGTGGCCTGAAAAGAAGAGAGAAATATATTAGCAATAGAACGAAAGAATAACTTAAGATGATGCAATAAGCATATTTTCCACGTATAAGTGAAAACTGTGGGCCTTAATGTCAAATCTTAATCAACGCTAGCTTTCCACCTGCACGACCAGGGAACATTTTTGGGTGGCTGGTTTTGCTCATCTGTTGAAATGCTAAGAGGTTCATGTTCATTCATAATGCTTGATGGGATAAAAGGGTTCATTTGTCTTGTACGTACAAAAATAGATTATATGAATGTTCCTCTCATAAGATACACAAACCTTCTTTTGGCAGCACCGAAAAAAAGATTTCAAGGATAATAGACTACTCAGAACAGCAGGCCAACCTGTTAAGCTAACGATGAAAACGGACACACTGAAGAAAACAGTGAAGAGGAGGAGTGGAAGTGGTAGCATACAGGGTAAAGATGAGGACAGCAACTACATTAAAAACACAAAATGCATGGGTTCAATATGCACGTGACTAATGTGATGTTACTGCAGCAGAAAAGGTGAGCAGACTGGGGAGCAGCACTTGATTATGCATCACCTGTAATGTTCCTGTTCACTGCAATGGCATGAGGTTGCAATTACACATCTCTGCAATGTGCTTTTAAACTAAAACAATGAATACAGGAAGTGCAGATGAGAGATGGGAACAGGTACGAAGTGAGAAGGAGCAAGAGAGCGTTATTTTAGATAGATCATTATTACCTATTGATATTCACTCTGACAACCCTATTCATCTCTGTACCCTCCCTATCTATGTGTCTGTCATTCATGTGTATGCGAGCATGCTCCGTCTTCCAGGTATAAGGTGAGTGAGTAAGAGGACACAAGCTTACCTTTTTCTGAGCGGCTTCTTTCTTTTTCTTCTCTTCTTGCTTTTTCTTTTTCTTATCGTCCATCAAATGGTTCTCTTCTTGTGAGTTTTGCTTCTTCTCACAGCTTAAATACAAAGAGAGAAAGAAAGAGATGGACATCGTTTTATAACCAAACACCACGAGAAAGATACCATGTCTCATCAGGGGATCACTTGCAATTTCTGTTGTTGTAGTAGTCTGTTGTTGTCATTGGCCTCTGTTGTAACACACATAGCCACAAGTGTAGTAGTAACACAACTGCCAGAGAGAATGTGGGTTTGTTTTGCACTTCACTCCCAAGCTGCATTTCTTGTCGAAGTGTAATGCCTTGACTCTGTGTGTGCACACGTGCTGTAGTTTGGTGGTGTTTGGGGTTGGTTCTGGAAACCATTAAGGAGGCCATGTAGGTTTAAATGGGACCAATGAGACGAGGCCCCCATTCCTAAGTCTCCACACCCAGCCAGTGCAACAGATCCCAACACAAGTAATCTGGGAGCAGACCACAAAAATAACTGGAGTTACTGCCTCATGGTTGTTTGCCTCTGCCAATTAATATGAAATATGATCAAATCTCCCCTTCTACATAGCATTTAAAATCGGCCAGTAAAGGCCATTTGGATATAAATGTCAGTACTTTTTAATTTTATCCCATGAGACATTTGTGGTAAATCTTACCATAATTAGTGTTACTCAATGCTTGAGTTATGGTCGAAATTGTGGTTTGTGAGGTCACAGTGACCTTGACCTTTTGATCACCAAACTCTAATCAGTACATCATTTAGTCCAAGATGTATTGAAATGTCCTCCGTGAGTTCCTGATAGGTCATGTTCACATAACTTGGATGGATGTGACAGATGTACCTATACATAATGTACTTTGTTGTAGATGACTTTATCTCCACCTTTCACTTAATAAGTCTGCACCTCCACCTCCCTGTCTTGAAAGGAAACACACACAAAATACCAGACCATACCATGTTTCACTTGCAAGTGCTAAGAGTCAGTCTTTATAAATCCAAACTATTTACAGAGAAAAACTGACAAACCAGTTACTACGTTTTTGGGGGACTCAGCAAAGACCACATTTCTGGAAAAAAATACATACAACGGAATCATAAAAATAGCAAAACCATCATCCTTTTTTACTTCCAAGCCTTCACTACTGCAGGCAACAGTGGTGTGTGCCATTGCCTGGCAACAAGCGCTCCCTGAGGCCCTGGAGAGCAGTCAGGTGGAGACAGACAGTGCCCTTAAGCAATCTGTTTGGTTGTGGAGGTTCAAGGATGGAATTGGAAAACTGAAAGAAAAGGCAAACTTGGACAAGTGCTACACATTAAAGTACAAATCTTAGCACATAACTATAACCAGCTGCTTTTTCCTGACCTCAATGATAAATGTTCTCCAAAACTGCAGAGGAACTTTCCTAAAAAAAAGTTAGAAAATGACAACCTGTATACAAGAAGCACGCCTACACTTAACTGATTGAGAAACTACTTGGGCAACTGGCAGTTATTGTCATTAGACTGGTAGTGACAGGTTGAACATTTGAGAACAGATTTTCCAAACTCAACTTGCAAAGTGTGCAGAATGCTTTGTGATGACAGAAGCTGCTGCCACGGTCTCCAAAAGGCCACGTTCCCCTCTGCTCTTAGACTGTGTGGCTAACAAACAGGTGACACAAGGTCACCATGACAAAGCCTCACATTCACCTCAAATATCAGACCCCCGCCCTATTATCTGTTCTGTATATAATCTTTTACACTGCTATCAGATGTGAAGACACAGAGTATGTCTCCATGACTCATGTCAACATCACACCCACTTGGAAAAAGGTCAGAGAAATCTTTATGTTATGTAATCTGAGTAATCAGTCAAACAAACAAACAAAACACAACCTGTGTCCAGTCATTTTTTTATTTAAAATATCTTCAGTATCAAAAGTAATATACCAACTTCATTTCTAGACAATATCCCAGATTTCCTGGCTTCCTCAGCACATGCCTTCGATGTCTATAAGGGCTGAAAAGTGAATATTGCTGCACACCAGGCCTGATGGATCAGAGGAGCTGTGATGAAGAGGAGCAAGATAAAATGTGACCGTAGTCCAAATTATGGATGGAATCTGCTTTGACACATAAAACTTCCCGCCACTATTCACCTACCTACTGATTTTTACCTCCAAAGGGCTGGCATGCAGCCTGCTGGTGTAGCTGCAGTTCTAAATATATCGGGTGCTGCTTCTTTCAAAGGAATCATCAGGCTTGTGTTATGAAGTATCAGAGGATGAGAAGGATGCTCCACTTAATGTGAGCTGCTGTTGGCCTCCGACCCAGACGAGGAGAGCGTGTGCTGAGAAATGCGTCAAAATGATTTCAGTTTAAGAAACATTTGGTCCCTGAGCTGGAAAGAGAGAGTCTCTCTCAATGAAAGCTGCTGTTTCATTTCCAAACATCTGCCTGGCTTGGACAGATGTGTGTCCCATGGGCTCTTAGTGCTTACTGATGGTGAGGATCCAGAAATGGTACCTTGTGCCCACTTGCTGTTTCACCACTGGTAATATAATGATGCTATATGAATAAGCAGAACACATAACTTTAAATAAAATACTATTTAAAGATACAAACTCCACCACAGATTACTAAAGATGCTTTTAAAATAAAACCATTTTGAAGGGTCCAAGCCTTAACCCTAACCCTGAAGGCCCATTCACAATAATAAAACAGAGTCCATTCTTTAAATCAATAAATCAGCCAGAGGAGACAATGCCAATTCTTTTTTTAAATGTATATATTCTCGTAGTAGCGGGCTAAGCTACATCATGAGCAACCGTTTGTTGGAGTGAGGCAGGGTGAGTGTCGACATGAAAGACACGGGCCAATGAGCTCGGCTGTGTAGTTGAATTAAACCGTCCTGTCAGAACAACAGGATTAGAGCTTGGTGTCCGTCTCAAAACCAGACACTCATTTAACAAAGCGAAGCAAAAGGGGGAAAAAATGGGGAGAGACCAATAACAGATAAATGACAACAGGTATAAAGCTGGTAGAGAATCAAATGGAGAAGGAGAGGAAGAGGGGAACTGTCACAGCCAATGGTGCTGCTGTAAATGCCCGACTATCCCTAAATGAAGCACTGAGGATGAGGGTGCTACAACTGATGGGGCTGGTTTGTGTGAGCGATGGGGGAAGGGGTGCTAGACGGCAGTCGCTGGGCACATAGCCAGGAATGCCATGGCAAGCCAAACAAGAGCACGGTGAGCCCTTGGGAGATCGCTTGCTACCAACCACAGCAGCAGCCACAGCCACAGTATGGCAGGATGTGCAGCCCCCTCTGCTCGTCTGCACGTTTGGGCGACACCGTTTTTAAGCTAACTCTGTAAAAATAACCGTTATATGCCGCTTTGTACAAAAAGCAAAAGACCAAGCTGTCACTGCCACCTTTCAATTTGTGTGAAGGTTTAAAAACTGCTGGGTAAGCACTGACAAAGTCTGTGTGCTCTGCAAAGAGGATTGCAGTCTCTTAAGCACTTGAGGCTATTCTCAGTGTGGTCATGTTAATGCTTTCTGACCCAGGCTAACGACAACGAAAAAAGAAACTTATGCTGCACTCCTAGTATTCTGAACTGGCCCTAAAATAACTTGTATGGCTGCACTCCAAGGGTGCTGCCTCCAATCCCAGTGTCAGTTGTCTGCGCCAAATGTAGTGGGAACACTTTCACAAGCCTGCTTGACCATTTCTGGTCCAAGAGATCAAAAAACAACCCAAACAAATGTCTTATTTAACTACAATCACAAAGCTTTCTCACCATTTCCATATTTTTATGTAAACCGGTGGGAAATCAAGTATCCGCGGTAAGACCCTGTAAGAGAGAGCTCGTGTTTTAATTTCTGCAAAGGACGATTCAGAAAATGTCTTAGAGTAGCATCATACATGAAAGGCGCACGACTATCAGCCCTGAAGGAGTAATCTCTACAAATCCACCTGTGCAGTTTTCAAATTTTTTTTGGCTAGCATTCTGACAAAACATCTTTTTTTGTTTTACATTTAAATGACAAACACGTTTCTTTGACCACAATAAATAGCTTTCACAGACTGCAAGCTCATCATTTCCACTGAGAACTCCAGCAAGGCATCTGATCATCGAAACCAAACAAACTGCCAAACCAAATGACACAATCTGGCAAAATGCCCCTCTGTCCTCTAGTCCAGCAGTAAGTAAAAGGCCATTGAGTTTTAAACTGAAAGAAGGGCTATGACCTAAGCTGTATAGTAATCACAGTATTTAGTGGCCTGTTTTTGTTATCAAGCCCCCTTTGGCGCCTCTTTACACACTGCCTCTTTCAGAGGCTTGGGTGCTGACTGGGGCCCCTGACCTGGCAGGGACAGAAAATACCCCCCAGCCCCCCTTCCCTTTACCGCCACCACCGCTTCATCCCTTGCCAGGCCCAGACCCAAATTAGGGACTCTAACACATCAGTAAAACCAGCAGGCCTCACCGCTTACGTCAGCCTGCCCTCTACATGCATGCACACAGGCATTCCCAGTCTACACACACACACACACACACACTGCCCTCTCCATGAGGAGAACATGCCACTGCAGGATGTTGAGCTGCCACAGGAGCCGGGCAGCGATGGCCTGTCTCACTAAGAACATTACTGCCGGTAACAGGTTTTAATGCTCTGGCAGGTCAGTGTCCTTTTTAACTCAGTCGGATTTAAAACTTTATTGTCCGATAAACTTATGTCAGAATTGATCTTCTACGGATGTGTGGCACATAAAAAAGACAAGAATGTAAGAACACACGACACATTACCTGGACTACGATTTCAGAAAAATACTAAATACTGTACAGTACAGAGTTAAATAAGCAATAAGGCTCTGGATATTTGAAAACTGAAACTAAGAAATAAGAACAGTGAAGAATTGACTGAAACTTTAAAACAAGCCATGGATATTGAGCTGCACAAAATTCTGGTTTGTCAGGGTTTGCACAGCTCAAACTGTGGACTGACAAGATGCATTTCAACCAGATTACACTTAATAAAACCCTGAGCAGCCTGGGTACAGTTCCAACAACCACCCCGG